GAACTATCACCAAGGCGCTACAAGGGTTAACTACTCTGGCCAATGAATTGGCAGAAAATTCTGGAATTGATAATCTTGATACAAATTGGTTAGAAGACTGGTTTAAAAAAAACAGAAGGAAATAATATCTTCAATCTTAACTTCCCTTGTGATTGTAGCAGGAATATTAACAACCATAGGTTGCTGCACAACTCCCTATGTTAGAAGCTTAGTCCAAAAACTTATAGAAACTGCTATTAATGAACAAATGTCCATAGGTTATTCCCCAAATAATCTCACGTTAATGGAAAGTAAATTAAATTTTGAGGAAGAAAGTCAGAAACTGTTACAAAAATTTGAAGCAAACTTGAATTATAGCGAAAATGAAATAAAAGCTACTTAAAAATAAAAGAGAAGGGAACTGTAAGAAACAAAGCGGTGATCCATTTTCAAAATGGCAATTTGTTACTTCATTTCCTTGTTCTTTCTCCTTTCTTAGCAGGCTTTCTCTTTTGGCAGGTTTCCTTTGGTGGGCATTGAGACTCAATCAAAATTCAGAAACATGTGTTTTACCTTATTTGTGTAGAGACTGCTTGTGCTTTACCTTATTTGTACAAAATTATTGTTTAGGTGACATCCGGAAAAGTGATGTAACCTCTGGGGTATTCAGCCAATGGGGAACCAGGAGAGGAACTTGTGCTTTAGAGGCATTAGTACACTGATTGTAACTTGCCTCGGTGTGCTTGCTCACCTGAGAGCACCCATTCTTGCAAGAATGAGATGAAAAGAACTGCTTCACTCCCCTGATCTCTGAGTCTCTGTTTCATGCTTTGATGACAAAACTGAGGAGGGTCAAGTCCACCTCCCACAGTTGTTAAGCAATGCTTGACTGTATTTTGTTTATGCAGCATGAGCAGACTAGGCACTCAAAGGAATTGAACACTCAAAGGAATTGAACATGTACACGCATGTTCATAGCGCCACTATTCACAATAGTTGAAAGTTGAAAACAGCTCAAATGTCCATCCACAGATAAATGGATAAACAAACTATTGACTATTCATACGATAGAATATTTTCCAACCGTAAAAAGGAATAAAGTAAATGATATATGAATGAATCTTGAAAACATTATGCTATATGAAAGAAGTCAAGCAAAAGGGTCATATTGTGTGATCCCCTTTATATGAAATATTTATAATAGATAGACCCACAGAGACAGAATGCAGATTGATAGTTAATGGGGACTGAAGGGAGGATAAACTATTTAATTAATAAGAGGTTTTACTTTGGAATGATGGAAATATTTCAGGACTATGCACATAGAAGTGGCATTTGTACAACATTGTGACTATACTAAATGCACTGCGTGGTTTATTTAGTGTCATATGAATTTCACATTAATAAATTATTTTAAAAAGATTCAGAGGTGTTGATGGTTCCCACTATATCCCTACTTAATTTAATTTGACCCCTGAAATAACTGGTTGAATCATAAAGGATGATGGTGGGTTCCCCAAACTTAACAAAGTGGTAGCCTTAATTGCAGGTGTTAAGCAGGATGTGGTATCTTTACTAGAACAGAAAATCTTGGAACCATGGTATACAATTATTGATCTGAAAAATACATTTTTTTCCATACCTATCAGGAAGAAGGATCATAAGTAGTTTGTATTCTCATAGGACTAACACTATATAACTGTCATGGTTCTGCCCCAAGGAAATATTCTCCACTATTTGTCATAACATAATCTGAAGATAAGTGGACCATTTTGACATCCCATAGCACATGGTATTAGTCCATTAATAGTCTTATGGTCATTGGGCCAGGCATTCAATAAGTGCTAAACCTCTGGATTTCTTGAGAAGACACATGCACATTCCATAGAGGGTGGAAGATAAGCCCTAAAAACATTCTGGAGTCTGTCGCATTGGTAAAAATTTTAGAAGTTTATTGGTCTGTGTTAACTCAGCATATGACTACCCAAAATGAACTGCTGTCCCACTCAGAGATGACCATGAAAGATGGTGGTGAGGGGAAACCCTCCCAACAGGCAGAGCTTCAGGCAGTGCAACATGCCATACACATTGTGTAGAGATGGAAATAGCTTGAGGTTAGGGGTAACAATGGCTCAGCTGGTTGGTAGGGGGTCTGAAAGAACAAGATCAAAGAAGTCAGGTATAGGAAAGTCTGCAGGACTATAAATAGATATAATTATTATGTGTTGATTTAAAAAATAAAATAAGTCTGCAGGAGAGGCACAAAGATGAATCAGTGGGAGTGGACACAAAGAAAGAGAATCATATTTTGTACATTAATGACCACTGGAGATCATTACTGTAGAAGAGGCACCAAAGAACCAAGTGGATAGGATGAGTTGACCAGTAGCTGTCAGTGGCCTCTGTCTGTGGCTACCCCAGTGCTTACTCAGGGGTCTCACAAACAAAATAATCATACCGGCAGAGTTGGTGGCTGTGTACAGGACCCAAAGCGTGTGCTCCCTTTCACTAAGACTGATTGACCAATGCTTCTACATGTTCGATCAGCAACAGAGATCAACACTGAATGCTGTTGATGAAGGATCAACATGGGATCTTGTAAAACATCACCTTAGACCAAGGCATCTACTTCACAGCCTAGGAAGTGCAGTGGTGGGCACATAGCTATGGGGTCCTCTAGATACCATACCATCCAGAAGCTCCTACTAGAAGACTGAGCATCACTACTGCCAGTAGTGATGGAGCAATGGAAGGTCCTCTCAAAGACACAGCTGAAGTGCCAGCTTGGGGATGACATCTGGCAAGGATGGGCCCTTCAGGACGTGGTATACAACTCAATTCTCATTATATGTTTTTGTGTCCCCAACATGTCTAGTGTCCAAGGGGTAGATATAGGAGTGCCCGGCTCATCAACACTCCCAGTGACACATTTAGGGTATCTGTGCTTTGTCCGCAGCTTTAGGCTCTGAGAGTTGATATTGGTTTCTGGGGGCAGAGGTGGAGGCACATTTCTACCAAGTGATACAGTGAGATTATATATATAGTGATACACACACACACACACACACACACACACAGCTACAGCTGCTTCTTAGACACCTCATGTGCCGGTAAACAGACAGAAGAAGTTAGCATTCTGGAAGGAGGTCAATGACTCTAACCATCATTAGGAGAAAAGGATGTTGCTATACAAGAGAGGCAGGGAGCGATGTATTTTGTGCTCAGGTGATCCACTTGGTACTTACATGTCCAGCTGCAACTATGTAAGTGCAATAACCACAAGCCCATAAAGGCATATTAAGCAAGGGCTGAGATCCTTCAGGCAAGGGAAGCAAGATCAACCTGCCAGGGAAACCACCTAGGCCAGCAGAAGTGCTAGCGAGTGGAGGGGAGGAGACAAGTAGTCTCTGCATAGGGTTCAACTGCAACAGCAGGGGCTATGGGTATCCTTTTCATTGACTCTCCTTTTGTACATTTCCTCAGAACCTGTGACCCGTGAGAACCCCGGAACAGCTCTGCCTGGATGGAAAGAACTTGAAGCAGGCAGATCTGCGCAACATAAGGATGATGACTGTGAGTGTTGTTGGCACCCTGCCCCAACGCTCACCCCCTGTTTGCTTTGAGTATCGACAGATAAAACTCACAGCTGCCTTTCCTCCCAGAAGATTAATCTTTCTAAAACGGAGCTGCTCTGTCATGGAGGCTATGGGCTGCTCTCCACCTCACATACTTGGCTGACTGGTACAAATGGCCCCTGGTCTTGAGGTATGGACGGTTTGTACTCCAGAGCTTCCCTGGGATTGGGCGCATGCATTTGTGCAGGCTTCACCTGAGACCACAGTCTCACTGAGCTTCTTGCTCCTTGCCCTCCTGCTCCCCTCATTCATTGTCCTCTAGGAGAATGACCCCATTAAGTCATTTGAACAACTGTCTTCTCAGGGTCTGCTTCTAGGAGCCCCATCCAAAGTAGTTATATAAAACTAATACCGATGGTGAATTTTGATTTGTGAATTGTATCTCAACATGGTTGCCACGTGTAAAAAAAAATATACTGGTCATCTACAATAATTTTTTTTCTTCTAACCCCATGTCATTAGGGCAATACATTCCTGGAAACTCCTGGTCAGGTGACATAATCTTACTTGAACATGTAAGTATCAATAATTAAAGGGACAATATGTTCTTGAGCTTCCAAATTAATACCTGTTCTTTTAAAAACACTGAATTCCACTGAAATGGTCCCCATTACAGTAAATCAAGAGTTAACTTGGGTTGTCTGTGACAGATGAAGACAGTCTCCAACACGAATGTGGCTGGAGACCTGCAGGTTCTTTGTGCCTTTTTGCTCAGTGCCCTTCATACCCACAAAGCATGCTTATATACTCAGTTTATATACTTCAACCTATGCTGTAAAAAAGGTAACAATAAGAGCAAAATAAATTAATGCAAACAATGCAAAAGAACATCATAGCAAACTGCAAACACTGGGAAGAGTGGAAAGGCAGCGGGCCAGCTCTCCTCCTGGAGTCCTCAGCTTCCTACAGATTCTTATGTTGAACTCGGGGTTTTATTTTAAAGGAAGCTCTTTTCAAAAGTCTATTTTTTTTGCAATGCAGTTGGGTGCACCTTATGGTGTGGCTATATTGGCCCTGAATGTTTACCAACAATAATGCTTGTGTATGACTGAGGCTTGATCTGTCACCTGCTTTCACTTAACTCTAATGGCAAGCCTGTTCCTTCCTGTGATTTTGGCTGATCTTACCTGGAAGAGTTCCTGAAACATAGTAGGTCCTCAAAAATCTGGAATGCATGGCTGTCTGCTCAAAAACACTTTAAAAAAGATATTTGGGAGACTAAAGAGGAAAGAAGATGGGATGGGAGACCATGTGGGAAAAGGTGGTGCCTCACAGACACGTAGTAGAGTTGGGGGGCAATCGTTGCCTTGGCAGAAATACAAGGAATAGTCCCCAGGGTCAGTTTTGGGAAGGAAAAATATGAAAAACAAAACAAAACAAACCAACCACTTTTAAATTTCCTTTTATTAAAGAGATATACAACTATGCTCCCTGATTCTCTACACTGTCTAGTCAGGGGTCTGGAGAAGGTGTTAATGATATTGACCCCTATTTCTGCTTCAAGGTCTGGTGTGGACTTCTTGCACCTGTCCAGAGTTTACTGGTGCTGATCTCATCCCTGTATCACAGGCCATGAATGTGGGAGGCCAATGGAATGGGTGGGTTTGCAGGAGGTAGAACAGGGGATGGCTGGAGGGTTGCTGGAGGGATGGGTATGTTGAAAGGGCTCTGCCCACCCCCAGCCCTCAGCTGTGGGGAGAGACAGTCTCCTCTGATAGGGTCTTGATGCTGCCACTCAGCTCTTGGTCTGGCACACCCTCCTCTTTCTGCTCCAACTTGAGGTTCTGTGGACAAGGTCACAGGTGAGGCTTGGCCCCGTATTTGTCCAACAGCAATACATACATACGTTTAGGGGTAGCAAAAACAGGAGATATATTTAGTTACAGTCCTTGTCTCTCAAGAGAAGTCCTGTTTCTTCTATCTCACCTGAAATGTGGACCTGACGTACCTCAAGCTCCTGCAAAATCTCATCCATGAAGTCCTGGGAGTTCTGCTTGTAAGAAACAGCTAATCGAATTGCATCATTGAAGAGCTGGTGGTAAGGGAAAGGTGGTGCATAGAATTGCCTCGAACTCCGCCTGGCCTGCTCCCACTGGCCCCTCCATGAGGTCCACACAATACTCCACCACTAAAGGTGAGCAAGCTTACCTCTTAGTTCACCTCTCCCCATCACCTTGACCACATCTTTGGTCAATGGAACTCTGCCTCATCAAGCCTGGTCCATTACCCTCTTCCCTCCCTGCCACACATGCCTACTCACTGTCTGCATTCTCTCCAACATGCCTGCAGTCAACCCTTCATTTCATAGCTTCCTGGGAAACTTTACCACCTAGAGCCCCAACCTCACTAGAGTACCTCTGAAGTCTACCATACCTTCACAACGTTGGTACCATCAGCAGCTGAAACAAAGTACATGGGCAGGGATAGCTTCTTGGCAAGATTGAAGTTTTTTTGGGTCATGCTTATATCTGCTGTGGAGAGAAGGTAGGACATTGGCCTGTCCACCAAGGGAAAGGGAGAAGGGTTTGGTGGGTAGAACAATGAGCTGAGTTAATAGGGATCTGTGTCTTAGGAAGAGGGAAGACAGGTCAGTTGGCATCTTTCCAAGGTAGAAAGCAATGCAAGCAACCAAGGTTTGTATCTCAGGAAGGACCGATGACTGAGGGTTGCCCACCCCAGGCAAGGAGGAGAAAATGTGTGGAGAATGTGCTGACACTGTGCTGACACTCAGGTAAAGGGATGGCCCCACCATCGATTTTATTGGCCACCACGATGCACGGGATCTCTGGCCTGAACTCCCGAAGCTCTGCATACCAGGTGCTCAGGTTCCTATAGGTGACTTTCCTCTGCACATCAAACACCTGCAAAGGGTAGAGGAAGGAAGACAGTTCAGGTATGTCAGTGTCTCTGCACTCTAGTTCCAAGTGACTCCACACTCAGGCAGGCACGCATGGGCACATGTCACAGGCTTGGGAACTCAGCAGGCACATGCTTTGAACTGCAGCCCTTCTGAGCAGAGGCTGTGCCCGCCCTTCTCAGGGAAGTCCCTGAAGCCTCTCGATCCAAAATGTTTTAGAAAATCGGAATCCTTTTTTATCTTCTTACCTAATCTTATTTACTTATTCTAATAATTATAAATTCAATCAAATTATTAATCAATAGTCCATTAGTAATTGTATCTTTTGTTTTTACTAGTCTATTCTTGTTTTTATTGCCTAAACTTTTTTTTTTTTTAAGTTGGGGTCTCACTCTGTCACCCAGGCTGGAGTGCAGTGGCACACTCATGGCCACCCCAGCGTCGACCTGCTTGGCTCAGGTGATCCTTCTGTCTCAGCCTTCCAAGTAGCTGGAACTACAGGTGCACGCTACCATGCCTGGTTAATTTATTTTTTTGATTTATTACAGAGACGAGGTCTCACCAAGTTGCCCAGGCTGGTTTCGAACCCCTGGGCTCAGGCAATCCTCTCACCTCAGCCCCTCAAAGTGCTGGGATTACAGGTTTGAGTCACTGCGCCTGGCCGAAATGCTTTTAAAATTTGTTTGTAATTTTTGTTTGTTTGCTTGTGTTAAGAGATAGGATCTGGCTCTGTTGCCCAGGCAGGAGTGAAGTGGTACTATCATAGCTCATGGCAGTCTCCAATCCCTGGGCTTAAGCAATCCTCTTGCCTTGGCCTCCCAAGTACCTGGGACTACAGGCACACGCCACCACGCCAGTTAATTTTTTTTCCCCCCGTACAGATGAGGTCTCACTGTGTTGTCCAGGTTAGTCTCAAAATCCTGACCTCAAATGATCTTCCCACCTCAGCCTCCCAAAGTGCTGGGATTTCAGAAGTGAGCTACTGTGCTGGGCCCCTTTGTTATAATTTATAAATGTTTATAAAATTTTCCTTTAGTTACTATTAATTTGCCTTTAATTCCAAGCTTTTATTTAATTTTTTGCCCATTCTGCACTAAAAACTTTTAAGGGAAATTGTTATTTTTTATTATTTGTAGCCTATAGTTTCATTACCTTTTTATAATTTATTGGTTTCATCCTTTTAAAAATATCAGTAAGAAACAGGAGCACCACAAACTTGCTTTAAGGGCAGAATTATTTGTTTTCTTTTTTTTTTTTTTTTTTGAGATGGAGTCTCACTCTGTCACCCAGGCTGGAGTGCAGTGGCATGCTCACAGCCACCGCACAAAATACCAAATCTCAGGGTAGGGAATGAAACTGAAACAGCTAGGACCGACTTTCCCTGTTCATGAGGGTCAGACTTCTGCACTACACTGTCCCATCTGCTGTACTCCATCACTGTCTTTTGTTGAGTACCCTTACAGTTATTATATTAAAATTAAAATATTTTGAAATTTTTAAGGGATTCTGTGTTTAAGGACCAGTGGGAGGAATCAGGTGATGATTCCTTTACCATCTGCAAAGGGTCAGAAGGGAAGAATCCTCACTGCCCTCACCACTGGTATTCGTACTGTGCCCACCAGTCAGTAAACTCCTGGGGACAGCAGTTGTGTCTTTCCACACTGGCACTCCAGCACCTTGCACGTTGACATCACAGCAGAATCCAAGTGCTAAAAGTGGTTAGAGTGGTGCAGGTACACACAGGAAAGAACAATTTTAATGGCAAACATCAGAGAAGGCTGCATGGAGGTGGTAGCATTTAAGCAGGGATTGAAAAAGGAGCAGTATCAAGTGAAGGGGTATGAGCTGGGGCAAGGCTAAGGAAAGAACAGGAAGGGAGGTGTGCAGAGCAGGTGGCAGTGAGCAGAAACACACCAGTTCCTTCTGCATTCCCTCTGCTATTGCTCCTTACAGATGAGATGACACCTGCTCAGCCACACATCCCTCTCAGTGTCAAGATCAGGCCATGTGTACTTATAGACAATCACTAAGTAGGAGGTTGAGCTGGAAGGGTGGTTAGTGTCTAAACACTATGGAGTTCCATGTAAGATATATACCAACTATGGTAGCAACTTATCTATCTCACAGGCTCTTCCCCTAGCATGTGACTGTGACCCCCCACTGTACTGCCTGTTTCTTCCCTTTGTGACTATGGCCAGAGTGATGCCATGTAACTCCCAGGGCTAGGCCATAAAAGGAAATACAACTCCCACCTGGTTCTCTTTGGATGCCTGATCTTGGGTTCTGGCTACCATTCTGTGAGCAAGCCCAAATCAGCTCACGCTGACAAACTGCATGGAGAGACATGTGGAGCAGATCCGGCTGACAGCCTAGCCAGTTGCCAGAGCGTGTAGAGATGCCTCAGCCCTAGAGTCTTCTCAGCTGAGACCTCAGGCATTATGGATTCCCAACCCATCAGAAAATGGTTGTGCTACAGGTTTTGGAGTTTGTGTGAAAGCAAGACCTTGAATGTTGTTCTAAGACATCTGAGTGACTGAGGTTTTCATTTGGTAACAATTGCTGGGGATCATAATTCAGAAAACCAGTCTATCATTTCCTGCATTACAGATGGCTGATATTCATGATGTTTTATAAGTGAACCAAAAGAAAAACATGTTCTTTTTCAGTATCTAAAAGTGGTGGCCTGGGAACTGAGCCAGGGTATTCAAAGGCAGGATCATCTGGAGGACACAGGTTCACAGAGTCCCTTTCTTAGCCCTTCCTACAACTGCATTTCAGGTACTTACTACACCCTGGTTACTGGGGTAGAACCCTGAGGACTGTGTCCTAGACAGCAAAGTGAGATGCTGGGAGAGAGGCAAGGGGCTAGTCTGGGAGGGACATTTAGCTGGGAACCACAGCATCTGCCTCTAAGGAAAAGCAGCAGGCAACAGTCAAGGGAGGCCTTAGGAGCCTATCTGGGGGGAGGGGTCCATCAGGGAGGGACTGCAGCCCTGCGTCAGCCACATGTTTGCCTCTTGGATGCTACCTGATGTTGAAACCCTGACCTTGCTTCACCCCCTACAATGGTGGGTCTTCATCATCCCCACCTACAGAGAGTTTACCTTGCAGGATCTCACTCAGAAGCTCTGAGAAGCCTGTGTGGTTTGAAGCATCCCTAGCAGTCCTGATGCCCCCTCTCAAAGCACCCAGTCTTGGTCAAGAGGGCTCAGTGCTGCTGGGCCCCTCACCTCTCAGGCCAGACTCACTCAGCACCTTTGTCCACCTCCCATCTGGTCTCGTACCATGATGCAGGCGTGGGCCTTGTGGTAGTAGGAGGCATGCATGCTCTGGAACCGCTCCTGGCCTGCCGTGTCCCAAAAGTCTGCAACATGAACAGAGCTCTGACTGCCCGGTGGTTGCCGGAGGGCAGAGACACCCACATGCACTGAGCATTTCTGCACAGGTCACTGTGTGGAAATATGACACACATAGTCCAAACCACAATGCATGTGAGTTTAAGCACAGGGAGGAATGAAGACCACACTGCTTCACAAGTGTGTCGTTAAGACACAGTGCATCTGGATGTGCTGTGAGAGGCATGTGTACACCTGTGTGCATGAGAGGACACAGAGCCAGGGGTCAGGAGGAAGGACAATGCAGACAGGGAGCCCCAGAAGGAAGAAGGTAGGTTCCTCTTCTTTCCCACATGCGAGATGCAGGGCCCTCCAAGGTCTAAACTAGTCCAATTTCCCATGTGCACTGACTATAGACGGTAGACAGAGTCAGGCAGGCTTTGTTGCCTGGCCAAGGAGAAGACAATGATCTTATGAAAGGTGACAACCCTGTGTGGGAAATAATGTTCTGATCATATTTGTTACTTTATACTAGCTGAATGAGAACTCCTAAAACTGGAAATGTCACTGCCTTGTCAAAGGCCCATATGTTCTTTCCCCTAGCAGGCAAAGCCTCCTGACTTCTGCTTTCCTGAATCCTGTCCTGCACACTGGTGCTGGTCTGGACACTAAGTCAGAGGGGCAGGTTGGTCCCTGCATGCCTCCTTCCACCTTCCCTGGCTTCCTGGCTTCTGGCTCCTGGGGCCCTCCCTAACAACCTTGTTCTTGCCTGGGGTCTCATTTCCTCCCTCCATGACTCTCTCCTATGAACCCTCTCTCACCTCCCCTCCTCTCCCATTTTCTGTCTCTTGGCCCTGTGGTGCTCACCCACAAGGATGGTCTTGCCGTCTACCATGGCAGTGTGCTTGTACAGGGTCAGGGCATATGTGGACAGCTGCTGTGGCTGACTGCACTTAGGTTAAGGAACAAAAATAAAATAAAGGGGAGGTATGGAAGGAGCAAAGAGTGGGGTATTTGGTGTGATGAAATGGGCTCTCTCCCTGCTTTTCTCTTTAGTTATTTAGATTTTACATCAAACAAATGTTGCAGACAGAGGATCAGCTCCAAATATCAGAGGCACAAGCTCCATGAAAGGGTGAGGAGTGAGAGGGACAGGGAGTGTGTCCTGGTTAAGTCCAAGGTAAAACGCAGAATAGAATTTTACAGAGAAGCTGTCATAATGGTATTATGTAGCTGGAAAATGGAAGGAGTGGGTGCCCCAACTTCTTCATGGATGGACCTCTTGCAGGTTAGAAAGAAAACCTGAACCCTAGGTAGCAACATTTTTTCCCATTCCAGGGAAAAAAAAGCCACACAAGCCAGACAGCTGACAAGCTGTTTAAAAATTGTAGTTTGCCTGTGTGTAAAACACTAACAATAAGCCTGTGGAGTAATATCTCCAGAAGGTACAAGATGCTGGACAGTTGAACTAGCAAAGCTGAGATGACACAGGTAGTTTGGGTTCACAGAAGTACTTGGTACAAGGTGAAGCAAGATACATTCAGATCCCAGGGAAACTGACATTAGCCTCAGGATGCTAGGCAGGGGAGCAACAGGTTCAGGGGCTCTTCTCACCTGCAAGTCTCAGTGGATTCTCCTGGGAAGCTTTTCACAAACCTCCCAGCTGCTTGGAGGTCCTCACTCCAAACCTGCACAATGTAGCAATTCACAGGAGGAGGGAGGGCCTGGCATCTCATATCAGAGATTTGTTAATTCATGGGGGAGGGGTGGGGAGGGCAGAGCTTTAAGGTTAGAATGACTTGCCCAAGATCAAAAGCTACTGAGGAGGATAAGGTGGGGCTTGAACCCAGGCATCTGATCCAGACCAGACTGCCTTCCTAATATAAAACAAATCCATAAGAGTAAGCTCCAGAACATATAGCACTGATCATGTAATGTCATGTGGGTCAATTGGTGTAAATGACACCTGTTCATTCACTTACCCATCCCTTCTGCCTGGACTGTTGGTGCAAAGGTGTGAGCAGTGGGGTATAGATACATGTATGTGGAAGGAGTGGATGCTCCAACTCCTTCATGGATGGAGCTCTTGCAGGAACAAGGGGCATTTCAAACCTTGAAGGATACAATCCATCCATGAGAAATCTCTCCATGAGTCTGTAAGGAGAACGAGGAGAATGGGCAAGGCAGTCAGGTAGTGTCCCTGTTCCCCTCTTGCCCCCACTTTTTGCCCCCAGGCTGACAACTTGGAAGCTGCCCTTGGCTTCCACTCCCCTTTTCACTCTACAGCCATAGTTTCCAGGTCAAGCCTGGAACCTGGGAATCATCATTACAACCACCCATAACGAAACAGCTCATTCCACTATGAGTACAAGGCAAAGCCCATGTGAAGCTTTCAGTTCCATTATTTCCACCTCAGCACAATGTTGCACATACAATTACTCCTATTTTATGCACAGGAAAACTGAGGCCAGAAAAACTGTGCCCTCCATCCAAAAGCCATTTCCCCCAAATTCTGCAGATTCTTCAGGGCTTTGCTCAAATGTTACCCAAGCAGTGAGTTCTACCCTTGGTGACTCTATTTACAGTAGGAAAGTTCTACCCCCTCTTGCACTCCCTTCATCCCTCTCTTACTGCACATGACGCCAATGGAACTACTAAGTATTTTACTTATTTGTTGTTTTTCTCTCAGGTGGAATGGAATGTGCATGAGAACAGTTTTGAATGTGTAGTTGACAGGCACATTCCCAGCCTAGTACAGTGGCAAAGGGGCCGTGATGCTCAGTCAGTATTTGAGTAATAAACATGCACAGTTAATAAGCTCAATTTAGTACATATCCCTGAGGCCAGTGAGAGAATACATACTCTTTTCTGGCTTTCATAACTATTAACCATCAATTACACCATTTAGTAAAGCGGGAGGAAAAAAAAAGCCTTCTCTAAAAAGAAATCATTAATAACATGTTTTCTGATCATAATGCAATTAAGTTACAGATAAAAAATCCAAACCAAACTTTAACAATCCTGTATTTTAAAATTAAGAGATAATCAAATGTATATATAATGAGTTATAAATAATTTAGGAGTTAGAAATCATAAAGGATACTTAAGAAATATCTAAGATTGGAAGGTATAAAAGTCCTCTCTAAAAGTTCTATCTACTTATGGGAAATGGAGCAGATGTACTTTTTCCACTCCCTTCCTTCTAAGGACAACCAAAAACCCCGAACACTGTTGAAATCAAGCATAAGATGACTCTGGAAACTAGAGAAATAGGTCAGACTGGCTAGGAACCAAGGGACCCAAGGAATGACACAGTGGTGAGCTTCCTCGGTTTTCTTTGTCCCTTCTACATCCTAGAATTGTTTAAGAGGCAGGTAACCTAGAAACCCATGGGCACAGACCAAAAACCCCACAAAAACACTAACAGAGCTGCTCTCTTCAACCAAAGGAGCAGGTAAGGATGAGCCTAAAGAGATAGAAAATATTTAGACCATAATCACCATCCAAATATCACAGAAAAAAACTGTAGCCCCACCTCTATCCCCACCAGCAAAGGCTGAGGCTGCAACAAGATGCTCCAGTGACACTCCCAAGCTGGTTTGTTGTCACAGGAGACCAAGCAGAGCCAGAAACTTCATCCCTATTAGATAGTAACAAAGCCCTTCTCCTCCAAGAGTCAGGGGAAACCAGGGCTCCAAACAGTAGACGGAAAAGTTTTGCATATATACCACAATACCTAAAACATCACTACAAGAGCTGTACAGATACACTCAATAATACTATAGAATTTCTAAAAATGTTTAAGTAGGATGGGTGTGGCAGCTCATACCTATAATCCCAGCACTTTGGGAGGTGGAAGGACCGCTTGAGGCCAAGAGTTCGAGACCAGCCTGGGCAACATAGGGAGACCTCGCTCTACAAAATATGAAAAAATTATCCAGGTGTGATGGCATGTGCCTCAGCTACTTGGAAGGCTGAGGTGGAAGGATTGCCTGAGCCCGGGAGGTCAAGGCTGTGGTGAGCCATAATTGTGACACTGTACTCAAGTCTGGGCGACAGAATTACTCTGATTAAAAAGCCTGGGTGACAGAGTCACCGTGATTTAAAAAAAAAAAAAATTAATTAAGACAGAAAAAGAATCCAAGAAATGGAAAACAGAAAACAAAAAATTAAAATTTCAGACTTTTGATTCTCATTATTCACGGTAGTTATGTTCTGTAAGATTTCCCACAAACAAAACCACACCAAAAAAAAAAAGAACAAGGAGCAAAGAAACCTTTGCTCCTAGAGGAAATATAGGGTTAGGTTTCTGCAAACTTCTGGTTGTAATGTTTTAAATCAACTAATTAACACATAACTTTCTTTTACGTGTATTTCTATTTAAAGATACCATATTTAATAGATATGAGGGGATTTCAAAAATTCGTGGAAAAATGGAATTAAATATAAAAATCTCTATTACTCAACGTAAGTTTCAACAAAGTCAAGAAACCATTATAAGCAATGATACCAGCCATTTAGTCCATTCTTAAAAAACTGAGGGTGCTGGGAATTTAACCATGTCAATGCAGTCTTTTTAACATTATTAACTGAAGCAAAATCGGTGCTTTTTAAAGGTGTTTTAAGATTAGGAAACAAAAAGAAGTGAGAAGGAGCCAAATCAAGACTGTAATGTGAATGTCTAGTGATTTCTCATTGAAATGCTCATAAAATTGTCCTTGTTTGACAAGAGGAAGGAGCAGCAAGGAGCATTGTCATGGTGGAGAAGGACTCTGGTGAGAATTTTCTGTGTGTTTTCCTCCTAAAGCTCTGGCTAACTTCCTGAAAGCACTGTAATAATAATAAGATGTTACCATTCTTTGGTCCTTCAAAAAGTGAAGAGGAAAAATGTTTTGAGCATCCCCAAAAAGCTGTTGTCATAACCTTTGCTCTTATCAGTCTGCTTTTGCTTTTTTTTTAAGAGATAGGGTCTCACTCTAATTTCACTGGGCATGGTGGCTCATGCCTGTAGTCCTAGATACTCAGGAGGCTGAAGCAGGATGGCTTGAGCCCCTGAAACTGAATCACTGAAAAAAATGAAATATCTTTATGCAAATCTAACAAAACATTTATAGGACTTGTATGCTAGAAACTATAGCATATAGAAACTATAAAATATAACTAGAAACTATAGCAAATAGAAACTATAAAATACTAATGAAAGAAATCAAAGAAGATCTGGATTGATAAAATTTTCATTCCAGCAAAAAGATAAAAGTTATAAAATCATAAGTAGCTAACAAAAGAGTCACAAAATATATGAAGCAAACACTGATACAAGAGAAGGGAGAAATAAATAGTTTTACAATATTTAGAGACATCAATATCCCACTTTCTATAGTAGATAAAAAACTAGACACAAAATCAACTAGGAAACAGAGGACTAGCCAATATATACAGAACACTCCACCCAACAACAGTAGAATATCCATTCTTCTCAAGTGAATAGGAGACATTTCTAGAATAGACCATATTTTAGGCCATAAAACAAGTCTTAATAGGATTAGATATTCAGACAAAGTACCTATTGCAATGACAATGAAATGAAACTGTAAATAACAGAAGGAAAACTGGAAAAATCAAAACACATGTAAATTAAACATACTCTTTAACAATAAATGTGTCAAGAAGACATTACAAAGAAAATTAAAATTACCTTGAGACAAATGAAAATGTAACACATCAAAGCTTATGGGATGAAGCGAAAAAAGTACTAAAAGGAAAATGTAATGTATAGCTGTAAATGCATGCATTAAAAATGCAGAAAGATATCAAATCAGTAACCTAACTACCCACCTTAAGATACTAGACAAAGAAGAGTGAACTAAAACCAAAGCTGAAGGAACAAAATAGTAAAGATTAGCATGGAGATGAACAAAATAGAGAAGAGATAAATCAATAATGTCTAACAGAAACTCTTTTAAAAGATTAACACATTGATAAATCTTTAACTAGACTAACTAGAAAAAATAGAGAAGAGACAAATTAACAAAATCAAAAATAAGCCTGAGTACATGCATACCAATTTTAAAGATATAGAAAGGATTTTAAGAGACTACTATGAGGGGAGTGCATATTTCTTCAACAAGGGTACCTGCATAATTAACATTTGTATACCTAACCCTGAATTGTACACTACAAATTTAAATTTTTTTTAAAAAAAGAGAGACTACTATGAACAATGGTATAACTTTTATATATTGGATAACTTTGATGAGACAGACAAATTCCTAGAAACACAGAAACTGTCAATAGACTCAAAAAACTCCATACAATTGGAATAGATCTATAACTAGTAAAGACACTGAATCAGTATTCAAAAAGTTCCCTAAAATAAAAGCCTAGAACTGGATACATGCAATAGTTAAATTTACCAACCATTCAAAAATTAGGTCCAGGCGTAGTGTCTCATGACTGCAATCCCAGCGCTTTGGAAGGCTGAGGAAGAAGGACTGCTTGAGTCCAAGAGTTTGAGCCCAGCCTGGACAACACAGTGAGATCTTATCTTTACAAAAAAACAAAAAATTCAGTCAGGTGTGGCGGTGCATGCCTGTATAGTATTCTTAGCTACTCAGGAGGCTGAGGTGGGAGAAGCGCTTGAACCCAGGAGTTTGAGGCTGCAGTAAGCTGTGATTGTACCACTCTAGCATGGGCAACATAGCTAGACTCTGTCTTCTAAAAAAAAAAAAAACAACCCCAAAGATGTACCACCAATCCTTTGCACTCTTCCAAAGAAAAAAAAAAGAGAGAATGAAACACTTTCTAATTTCATCTATGACACAAGCAATATCCTAAACCAAAAGCAAATAATGACACTATGATAAAAGAAAACTAAAGGTCAATATCTCTTATAAATATAGAATTAAACACTCTCAGCAAAATACTAGCAAATAAAATTCAGCAGCGCATTAAAAGGAGTATCTACCCCGATCAAGAGAAATTTGTTCTGGGTATACAATGGTGGTTCAACTTCAGAAAATCAATCACTCTAACATATCATATTAATTGAATGAAGGAAAAAATCATATGGTCATTTCAAAAGTTATGGAAAAAGCATTTGAAAAATCCAACACTACTTCACGACAAAAACACTCAGCAAAATATAGGCAAGGAGCTTCTTCAACAGGATAAAGGAGATAAATGAAAAACCTGCAGCCAACATCATTCTCAATGGTAAAAAACTGAAAGCTTTCTCCCCTAAGATCAGGAACAAGGCAAGGATGTCTGCTTTCACCACTGATATTCAACATTGTACTGGAAGTTCTAGATAGAGAATCTATCCAAGAAAAGGAAATGAAAGGCATCCAAATTGAAAAGGAAGGGCTGGGCATGGTGGTTCACGTCTGTAATCCCAGCACTTTTGGAGACTGAGGCAGGAGGATTACCTGGGCCCAGGAGTTTGAGACCAGTTTGGGCAACAAAACAAGACCTTGTCTCTACAAAAAATCAAAAACCTAATTGGGTGTGGTGGTGCATGCCTGCAGTTCCAACTACTCAGGAGGCTGAGGTGGAAGGATCGCATAAGACCAGGAGGTTGAGGCTGTGGTGAGCCGTGATGGTGCCACTGCATTCCAGCCTGGGTGACAGAGTGAGACCTCGACTCAAAAAAAAGGGGAAGAAGTAAAATTTTAAAATTCATAAAAAACTATTAGCTATAGTAAGTGAATTCGTCAAAGTTACAGGACATAAAATCAACACACAAAAATCAGTTGTATTTCTATAAACTAGCAATGAACAATATGAAAAAGAAATTAAACAATTACTTTTACAATAACATAAAAAAAAGGAACTATTTAGGAATAAATTTAACTAAGGAGGCATGGTGGTTTTACACTGAAAACTACAAAATTTTGCTAAAAGAAATTAAACATGACCTATATAAATGGAATCTGTGTTTGCGAATTTGCCAACTTAATAATTTTTGATAAATAATGCTACCCAAGCAACCTACAGAAAATCTCTGTTAAAATCCCAGTGGCTTTTTTTGTAGAAATAGAAAAACACAGGCCAGGTGCAGTGGCTCACTCCTGTTGTCTCAGGTACTCGGGAGACTGAGGTGGAAGGATTGCTTGAGCCCAGAAAGTTGAGGCTGTAGCAAGCTATGATTACACCACTGTACTCCAGCGTGGGCAACAGAGTGAGACCTCATCTCAAAAAAAAAGAATAAGCCAATCTTTGCAATGATTATAGTCAACTGTCATTCCTGTCCACTTTTCTCAATCTCAGTGAGTCCCTTCAAGAAAGCATCTTTACATCTTTACCACAAGTCTGTCACTGGTTGTATAGTTACTTTTCTCTATCCATCCTCACTCTCTTGCCCTTGCAATCCTCAGCTCACACACAACATACAGTGTCGTCACTCACTCCACACCTCCTCTCAGGACTTACAGAAAACACTCAAATTCCTCAGTGCTTATGACTTGCCCCTACTCCTCCAACACACAAAATTGCTGTGATTCCCCTCATTTCCCCATGCACACCTGAGCTCCGGCCAGGATTACTCCCTCATCACCCCATTGAAGCCATGCTCCTCTGTGCTCCTGAAGGACTTTTCTAATAACCCAGACCCACATGGACGTGGTCTTTCCTCCCCCATCTCCCAACATACTTTGACTTTCCTACCGCGCTGTCTCCCAGGCAGATAATCTTCACGTTCTCATCAGCATCATATTTATTTTGGTCCAGCTCACAGGGTTTGGTTCTCTCTCCTGCCATTGGCTCCTAGCTGTAGAGAGTGGTCCAGCCCTGGGGATGGGGATTTTGCCACTGTGAGGGAAGATCAACAAGAGGCTGCTATTAGAGAGAGATAAGTCTCCTTAATCAAATCTATTTCTTTCTCTTCCTGGTCAGGAGAGACAATGTGGCAACAAGAGAGGGGGCCATGGATTCTTCTCCATACCCCACCAACTTGGTCACCATATACAAGTTGTAACCTTGTACCCCCAAGATCCTCTTAGGGTGGTTTTCCCTATGACATCTACCTACTGCAGGTATACTCAAGGCCACACCTTTGACTGCCACTTGGAGAGACAGTATTTCAAAGCCATGTTGAAACTTTACAAATTTAAATACAAAAGTTATTCTTTTCTTTTTTTGAGTTGGAGTCTCACTCTGTCGCCCAGGCTGGAGGGCAGTGGCACACCCACGGCCACCACAGCCTCGACCTGCTGGGCTCAGGGATTCCTTCCACTTCAGCCTTCCAAGGAGCTGGAACTACAGGTGTGTGGCACCATGCCCGGCTAATCTTTTTTGATGTATTGTAGAGATGAGGTCTCGCCAAATGGCCCAGGCTGGTCTTGAACCTATGGGCTCAGGCAATCCTCTCACCTTGGCCTCCCAAAGTGCTGGGATTATAGGCATAAGCCACTGCGCCTGGCCCAAAGGCTTTCTCATTTGTAAAACAGGAACAAAAAAATACAGTGCTGATGTCACATGACTGATTTGAGACACCATCTGCCAAAAAGCCTGAGCTCATACACCACACAGCCAAAGATTCCTAACCCACCCTTGGTCCTCTGCCTCCACGCCTCTCACTCGTTCATTTTCTAACCTACTGCAATTGGCACCTGCCATTCCTTCCCTCAACATGGGTAGTGCACAAACCCTCTTCTCCAGGGATATTTTAATCTCTACTCATTTCAAGCATCTCCTAAAAGCTGACGAAGCCAAACTGTACCTTCACACAGATTCCTTCCCTCAGTGTCAGACTTGGACTAGTAGACTGAGACACACAGGCAAATACTTAAGTCCTGCCCACCTCAAATGCTGCTCTCACAGTCCTCTTTCTTACAACACCAGGAACCCAGTGCCAACAGCTGTGTGGAACATCATCTCTAGCTCTGTTCTACTCCCCTGGTGCTAGACATGACTTGGAGAACATTCCGGGAGAAAACACCAACAGGCCGCCGAGTTTCCCCGACTGTAGCACCGCGCAGCTATCGCCTCTGAACAGGCAGGGACGGGACGGGGCGCTGTTTGCCGAGGTACCCTCGGCCTCCAGCGCAACTCCTGGGAAGCAGAGGGCTGGTGAGCACGGTCAGGGGCTGCCCCTTCCACCTCTACCCTGAGGCCGACCGGCCGGTTCAAAGGCCGAATCCAGCCGCGTCGCTGCAAGCTCAAAGGCCTTCGGTGGTTCCCGCGGTCCAGCAGACAAGCTCCCTTTCATTCGATAAGCACGTTGGGGCCCTAACCACGCCTAGGCGTCGCCCCTGCAGGCGGCCCACCCCTCTCCCCCAGCCGCTGCGTGATCCCACCGCCCGACCTTCCTCCGACCTGGCCCTCCCTCCTGCGCAGGCCCCAAGGACGAGTCCGAGGGCAGTTCCCGCCGCCGGGGTGGGTGAGTCCGCACGTACGGTCCCGGGAGAGGGCTGGAGAGACCAGGGACGCTGCAGGTCGGCCCGCCAGCAGCCGGCGATCCCTCGGGCCTTGCCACCGCCGGCGAGCCCGCCCGGCGGCCCGAGCTCCCTCTGCGCCGCAGCTTCTTCCGGCTCGGGCCGCGTCCCGGCAGCTGCTACGCAACCGCGCAAGGACCCCGAGCAGGGCTGCCCGGTTCAAGGCCTGAAGGACCCCGCCGGGCGCGTGGACCGGCTAGCGCGGTGCCTGGCGGGAGGGCCGCCAGCGAGCGCGCGTCCTGCCGGTCTCGGCGGGCTGTCGTCTCAACCGGCAGTCTGGGCTGTGCGTGGGCCCCGGGACGAGGTCGTGTTTACGCGGCTGCAGCTCGGGGAGTGGCGGGAGTCTGCGGGACGGGCCTCGGCGAGCCGCGGGAAGCGGCCGAAGCTGCCGGCGGGGACGACGGAAGGGTCGCGGGACCTGGACACCGGCCTAGAGGGCGTGGAGGGTGTGAGAGGCCCATGACCTGATGAACTGATTGCTGCAGTTTGTAATGCTTGATGGGGAAAATTTGAGCAAATTTCTCGAGCACGGAGGCGGTGTGGCAGGGAAGCGAGCTAAGCCCCAGCCGGGAGTGGGCGCTAACCAGGGTAGTCCCCGCGCAGGCACTTTCAGGCCGAGAAGCCTCTGGGAACGGAAGGCCTTTGGGACTGGCAGGAGGGGCCGCCGCTCCAGGTGACCCTGGAGAGGCATCAGAGACACAGCGTGCAAGCCCCGGCTGCCGGCGATGGGGTTTAGGGTCTTGTCCCGAGAGCCGAGTGCTCCTGGCAGTGTTCGGGAAAGGGAGCCCACGGCCTGGGCTGCGTCGTTGGATCCTCTGAGAAGCGGTGACACTCTCTCCTGCGACACTCTCGCCGCTGTGACATCAGCAGGAGTAATGCTGCTGGCGCAGTGAGAGAACTGTGGCTTCGAGAGACGGTTGGGAGTACGATTGCCGGGCCTTGGCGATAGCTTGGGTACAGATGCCGAGCCTTGCTTCCGGGTACCCTTGGGGTAGCGGGGAGAGCGGGTTGGCCGGTGTTTCCTGGTTAGGAGAGCTTGGCTTTGCAGGCGCCGTGGTGTCCTCGCTGAAAGGCGACTTCCTCGTGAGGGCCACGCCCGGCGTTGTTCCTGTGACTGCCAGGCCACCTTGCGGCTCGGAGAAAGTTTCGCCTGGCCTCTGCCCCGCACATGTTTACGGGTGTCTTCTGTGTGTTGGCAGATTTAGAGGACTCACCAGACAGGATCACGTGAAGAGACTCGACAGTATTTTAGCCCAATTTACAAAACGCTTTTTCGTTCATGATGCCGTTTCCACAAAGATGAATCAAATGAGACTGCAGAGGTTCATGTAAGGTTGATGGGACACCTGTGCTAGGCAGTTTTAACTCCTTGAGATACCGAGGGGTTGAGTGACTTTCTGTCCTTAGAGTTTTGTCTGTAAGTCTGTTCCTTTGGGTTTTTAAGGAGCCTTCATCATGTGGCATGATTGATGACACCACTGATTATTGGTGATCAGCTTAACCTGTTCCTCTCCTAGTCCCACGTCTTTAGTTACATGGCTGTTACCCTGAGTCCATCAAGGAGCCTCCAGCCATCTGTTAGCTCATTTGCATTTGAAAAGACACTTATCACTTTGGAGATTCTAAGCATTTTAGGAGTTGTGTGCCAGGAATTGACATGAAGATCGCATATGTATTTCACAGCGTCACAGCCCACCATCAGTTTCCAAACATGAATCCTTTACATCAAAACGATATACAACTCAAAAGAGTCCCATTCAAAGATTAATGATTATTTCAGTCCATTGTATGAAACTGTCTCCTGGATTGAGGTCACTCAGGTTTGTATGCTTTCATTCAGTTTTGACTGATTCCAAAAGCAGAAGTGGTCTGTGCAAACAGCCTCACCTTGTCCAGGAAGACATACAATTTCTCCTCAATCCGTACTGCACACTAAAGCAATTCACCCTGGAGAGTATAATATATATAAAAGAGAAAAAGTGAGAATCAGGTATTATAGCACGCACAAATGAAGAATAATTCTCAGTGCTGATAAATAACAGGGCAGCACACTTTTTACACAGCATTGACAAAGGAAGATGCGTATTCAAATTAAGCATAACAAAGACAGTCAGCTCTTATTCGTAAATGCCAATGGGAGAGATTTGTATTTCCAACAACCCAGAAATATAAACAGGAAAACATTTTAGAATTCAACCGGTGAACAGATAATGCCTCCTTACTTAACTGTGGAGCACCCATGTCACACAGTTTGGCACCACTTAGTTGCACATTCCTAACATGACCTATTAAAATATTGCTTTTCCAAGCAAATGCAACCTGGATAGCATAATTAAAACTGAAAGGGAAACTGAGACAGGTTTTGCAGCATGCAACAAGTTAGAATAATATTGATTGCCAATAAATAGTGCAGCACAGACTTAAAACAGGGTTACCCAAGGAAGATCACAGTCACAACAGGCTTAAAAAAGGCTATCTACACTTATTCGTAAATGCAAACAGCAGAGTAATTGTATTTTGTATTAGAAATGTAAAACGGGAAAAACCTTTTAGAATTCACCTGGTGAACAAACAATGCTTTCCTTCAAGTAACTGTGAAGTACTCATTTTGTTAAACCCGAGAGTTTAACTCCAAGAGACCACAAAGAGCCAGCTCCGCTGCAAACACACGAGGGTCTTTATTCAGGCTCGAGTCTGGGCTCACGTATGAAGCCGACGCAGCGACTTCAGGGATGAGAGAGACCCGATCCAGTATGGCAAGCAGTTTTTATGCACAATTACAGAGGGAGGGGGAAAGAACTTTAAACTTGTTTTTACATGATTGGGTAATTTCTCCTAATGGGTACGGGGGCTCTTGGGATTGGTCTGGTCTGCGCAGGCTCTAGCTCAGCTACCTGTGATTGACGGGGAGCTGCTAAACGGGCAGGGTGGAATGTCAGATAAGCTAGGTTTAGCAAGCAGGCAGGCAGGTTTGAAACAACGCAGAACCTACGGGGGGAGAGGGTGGCTGGTGCCACGAGTCTACTGTTATCTAAGCAAAGGAATGTCCGGGAGAGGCTTATTGCTTAACATTCACACACTGCTAGCAGCAGTTGCGGAAGCAATCGGTTATTTTATGAGACAGAAATTAAACTTAACAAAATTCTAAGTACAAACACTGCAAACAAATACAGTGAACGTGGGGTAGGAATTCATTTAGTAATAGTTCTCTTAGAGTTTTTTGAATCTCTTGGGTCTCTCAATTTAACACAGTGTGGCACAATTTAATTGCTCAACTTTATGGCATGTTAAGTATTGACATATCACCCTGTAAGAAAATGCAACCTGTATTGTGAGGCTCCTTGAATGTCACGTATTACAGTATGCACCAAGCAAGATTAATACTATTTGCCACTAAATAGCAATGCAGCACACATTTGACACAGCATGTCCCAACATGATACCCATTCACAACAAACAAACGAAGCCTGTCAGCTCTTGTTCGTAAATGCAAATGGCAGAGCAATTGCATTTTGTATAAGATGGAAATGTAAAACTGAAAAACCTCTCAGAATTCAACTGGTGAACAATGAATGCTTTCCTAAAAATAGCTGTGACTCTTTCATTTCAATCAGTTTGGCACAATGTAGTTGCATATTTCTATACATGAAAGATTGACATACCACTCTCCTAAGAAATGGCATTCTAAGTAGCATAAAGTAAATCAAAGCGAAACTGTCAGAATTAGGTAGCACTGCATGCTCCAATGAAGAATAATACTCATTGCCAATAGAAAACAGTGCAGCACACATTTGACACAGTTTTACCCAAGGAAGATGCCATTATATAAGAAGAATAACAAAGGCTGTCAATTTCTATTCATAAATGTAAATTACAGTGTAATTATAATTCATATATTACGGAAATGTAAAAACAACACATATTTTAGAATTCACCAGGTGAACAAATAATGCTTTCCCACAAATAACAGTGGATCACTCATTTCACTAATGTGGCACAAGGTAGTTGAACATTTTTTTTTTAACCATTGTACCATTTTATTTATTTAACCATCAGTACTTATCCATCAGGTGGAAAAAGAAAGGAAGAGAAAAGCAGACTTTAAATGGCAAGCTTTTAAGACACCATGGAGAGTGAATTATTTTGTTACTCTGAACATTTCTAAATGTGAAAGATTGACCACACCCAAAGGAAATTCGCCATGTAGAGTATAATATAATTGAAAATTTAAAAGTGAGACTCAGGTATTTCTGCATGCATCAATAAGGAGTATAATTGCCAGTAAATAACAGTGCAGCACACTTCTCACATAGCATTGCCCGATTAAGATGAACATTCATATCAAGCATAACAAAGGCAGTCAACTCTTATTCGTAAATGCAAATGACAGAAGCAATTGTACTTCCTCCAACACGAAAAAATAAACTGGAAAAATATTTTAGAGTTGACCCAGTGAACAGATAATGCTTCCTTACTCAACTGTGGAGCACCCATGTCACACAGTTTGGCACCATTTATTTGCACTTTCCTATACGTGACCTATTGAAATGCTTTCCCAAGCAAATGCAACCTGAATAGCATAATTTACCATGAAAGAAAATCTGTGAGAATCAGGTATTGCAGCATGCACCAAGTTGCAATAATATTGATTGCCGATAAATAGTGCAGAACACATTTGAAACAGTGTTATGCAAGAAAAATCACAATCACAACAGGCATTACAAAGGCCACATGTGCTAATTCATGAATGCAAACAGCAGTGTAATTGAATTTCATATTAGACAAAAATGTAAAACAGGAAAAATTTTTAGAATTCAACCGGTGAAAAATGATAACTTCCAACAGGTAACTGCCAAGAACTCATTTTACACAGTGTGGCACAATTTAGTTGCTCTTTCCTACACGTGAAGTATTGACATATCATTAGAAAATGGAACCTGTAATGTAGCCAAGCCTGGTGGCTCAGCCTGTAATCCCACGCCTTTGGGAGGCTGAGGTGAGTGGATTGCCTGAGCCCATGGGTTCGAGACCCACCTGGGCAGCGAGACCTCATCTCTACAATAAATCA